TAGATGTGATCAGATGAATAGTGATCAGATCAGATCAGATCAGATGAGTTGTGCTGATATGACTTGAGATTTGATGAAATGTCTTTAGATGTGTTGGAATGTTTTTAGATCAGATGAGATGAGATCAAATAAGTAGAAATGAGATAAGATGATTAGAGAGTACAGGAGATGAGATGAGTTAGCATGAGATGAGATGAGATGTGTCTATTTAAATTAAATTATATTAAATCAGATGTTTTTAGATTTGGTGCGATTACATTACATTAGATAAGATTAATTTATTTGAAATGATATTTGCTGAGATGAGTTGGGTGAGATGTTATGAGATGTGATCTCATGAATTTAGATAAATTCAAGAATTATGAGTTGATTTGATTTTAATTATGTTATTTATTCCGATATAATGTGATTATACCAGTACTAATACAATGTATTGAGATGAGATTAAATGAAAAATTTGCGATAAGATGGGATATAATGATATGCTTTGCGTTAATATAAGAGTAATTGTAGTAAGTTGAGATTTCATAAGCTAAGACTATATGAAATCAAATATCATAATATTAGAGTAATTGATCTGGCATATGTTGATATGAACTGAGATGTGATGACATGAGATGATATTTTATTATATTTGATAATATTTATTTAATATCTTATCACCCTATTAAGTTAAATGTGATGAAGCAGTCGTGGTATTTTCACATTCATGTGTTTTTTGCTGACGTTTCCTTTAAATTTGAAATAGTTTTGCTTTCCCTATTGTTATTCTTATCCTGGCACCAGTGGACTAAATTTCACCTCGCAATGTTCTTACCAACACCCTCAGCGGTAGTTTAACCGTGTCAGTGCAGCTTGTGAGCTTGACATGTTAAACACTTGGCCACATTGCCAGGAGTGCCCTTGGGTACAGGGCAGATGTTAAAATCAAATTAAGGTTAAGCCATTTCCCATTTCACATTGTTAGGTGATATTGTACATCAAGCAATCGGATTTTTGCTATAACAATCGACTGCATTACTTATTTTTCGTATATAAGTAGAGTTTATAAACTACCAGTAAAATGCATCTCAAATAACTGACTTATTGGTAGCCATAAAACGATACTAATATAAGAAATATAAGTAATGTAGTCGATTGTTATAGCAAAATCCGTTTACTTCATTGATAATCCTTAGAAGGATGTGATATGGGAATCAGTCTGGCCTTCATTGGAAATAACATATGTGCTGTGAAACAAGGTCGCTAGTGGCAATGTAACAGAGCTGGACGAATGCGGATCGGTTAAGGCTGGAGGTGTGGAAAAGACCTATTCGAGGAGGCGAAAGTAGACTAATGGTGCCTGGGAGAGAGCAACTTAAAGAAAAGCAAGGCCATACGAATTTCAAAGAAAATGACAGCTCTAGACATACAAATGTGGGAAAATAATTCTACAAAAAATTAATTATGTTAAATAAAAGAGAAAGACACATAACAAATAAAAGATTTACTGGTAATTTCAAAATGTAATATATATATATATATATAAAGTATAAAGCATTTGAGTAACTGAAATCAAATAAGGTGAGATGAGATAAGATAAAAATAGATTAGATGAGATGAGATGAGTTAAGCTGAGC